GATGAAGTCCGTCGCCAGGTCGCTTGTCCCTGTCAACGACATCCAGTACACACGCGACTTCGTGGTCTCCCCTACCTTCACCGACATCAATGCCCGAGACTTCGCCCGTATCGTAACCAACTACTCCCCCTGCACCGTTTGTCATGGAACCAACATCTCCTACCACCGCACCGTCGACTGCCCCCACTACCGTTGCCCCCGCTGCAATCGTCGTCAGCCGGGACACGTCGAGTCCCTCTGCTCGGCCAACGAAGCTGAGGCCCCCACCTTCCCGCCGGACCTCCGCTCTCTGACCGACCTCCTGAGAGGAGGAGTGTTCGCACAACCAGTGGCAGCCATGTGGACGATGTGCGCGGACAGACTCTATGCCGGAAACCGATCCCTCATCGCATCCCGACCAACGGACTTCCTTCCCCCGTACCTCCGAGCAAAACGAATCACCCTCGAGAACGCGCATCAGTGGTACGTCGTCCTCCACGGCCGTATCAATGGCGCCTTTGCCGACCCGGCAAGGGCCCATGGCATGACCTCGCACATATCCACCGCCCTCGTCCGTGTCTACGAGAGTCGCCTCGAAGCTCGTAACGCCCTCACCGAGCTCCACTACGAGGAGGAACCCTACATTGACCAGACTCAGCTCTATGGGGCCCGCCCTCCACCTAGTGAACGCCGGGAGAATAACGAGAGTCGGCGCCCTGATACCCCGCATCCACACCCTGTCCTGGGGACGGTACCTACCTCTCCCGTCTCTACTCGATCGAACCTCGAGACCCCGAACCCCTCGGAGGTTGATGAGAACGAGCCTCCCCACGATGCCGACCCACTCCCGCTCCCCGCCTACGAACCGGTCGAAGGAATGGACCGCATTCCTCTCCGCCAACTGACCACTTCGCCCACGTCATCCTTCCAACCTTCGCCGGAGTCCGCGGTATTGGACCTCGTCTCTACCGACTCGGGGATCGCGGTTGCTCAACTGCGCAGGCATCGTGACGGGAGTACGACATTCTTGCCCCCACCTGATCAAGCTTAGAAAAGTCGACGAGGACGTCGACTCTAGGAAGGGGCTTATGTTACGTCGACGTTTGTTTTCCTTTATTTTGCGCTTGACCGTTGTACTACCTTAGCATGGGCCCAACCCCATGACGCTACGCTTCTAGTCTTCGGACTACTTCGCTGTGCGCTCCGGTCCAACCCGGGGCAGTTCACGTGATCTCTGACTCAGTATGACTCGTCGTGACTCGTCTCTTACTCATACCTGACTCATCGTTTATGACTCGGTCCCTGACTCGTCATGACTCACTCCCCCGCGCTCCTATTGGCTAGGTAGATGTGACTCGTCCAGGACCTGCCCTGAACTCCCCATGTATATAAGACCAGTGTACAGTAGCGGTCGAACCTCAGTTCGACCTGGTTATCTATTGAAGCTTCACCAGCTCCTTGGATATCAGAAACTCCCCGCTCGACCTGCTAGACGGACTTAGCAGCGTCTTCGACCATCCTCCCCATCCAAGGACGATTAGAACCTAAGGTCCCTACGTTTAGGGTTAGGTTGAGAGCTAGTGCTCTAAGTGTCACGCTTCGCGTAACACTTTACGGCACACCCGGAGCTTCATCAGGGTTCACGCCGCCGCAAGGTCACTCGGACCGAACACGCTGATCACCTAAATCATGCGTCGTGGACTGGAGACACAGTTGCAGACCACGTGGACCTCCGCTCTGCATGGGCAGAAGGACGCTCAGCAGCGACATACTCGCTCTCAGAACTGCACATCAAGCCTGGGTTCGATGTCCTGTTCAGTTCCACGTGTTCCATCGATATGCTCCAACCTATTCGGCATGGCAAGTACCCTGGAGTCTCGTCAGAGCAAGATCGATCACAGGAACCTGTTACCCCGCCTTCACCACTTCCCGCTGCGGTCCCCCCAGTCCCAGGACCCTGTACGCCGGTTGCTTCCAGTGACTCGGAGGGAGCGTCCTCAGAACCGTGTGTACCATTGACCGCCGTTGGCTCCGAACCGAGTTGTCCAAGTCATGCTCAGGCTGGCTCAGATGCCAATCACGGTGCCCAATCGGACGTCACTGCCTCCGGTCAGGCTGCCTCAGGCTCGGATATGCTCGTTGTGGAGGAAGAGACAGTGACAGGTGCTCTCATACAAGCTTTTGCCGCATCGGGAGACTCCGATTCCGAACGGAGTGACGCAGGCATCGTGTCCGGTGCTTGCGTCCAACTTGAAGACCGTCTTGACGAGCCTGACGAACCAGATCAGCGATTACCAACCACTTGCGCCGGCGCAGCGAATGCATCACCGTGGTTGTTGACCGAACAAGGGCACAAGATTCATAAGACGTCCGTCTGCGTTCAAGTCATCACGCCTGACTGGATCCGCAAATCCCATGAACGCATCTGGCGTGTCCGCTGTTACAGCTCTGATGTCAAGCCACGCGACCTGAGCTCTGCTAGTACCCTGAACCCTAACCTGTTAGGGATAGAGGCTTGATAGCCTCAGAGTGCACAGAAACTCGTTAGAAGTGTTTACTTACCGAGTGGCTGCATCAGTGAAGGTTTGTTATGTGCTTATCTTACTCTCCTTATCTTTCCTTTATTCCTCTCAATGGACATCAATGTAGCGCTTTCATTGTTTTATTACCGAGGTATTGATTACCGACGTTTTAATGCTTTAGAAGCGCTTGTTACTGTATCTACTAAACGGACTATTACTGAGTTTCTAGTGTGTGTTCTTACTTATTATGACCAGATGCTTTCAGTACTGATACAAGAGCTATTGTATGCTCGGTAAATGATGGTTATTACCGATCAATTACCGAGTTATAATAGTTTTGTATCGGCATAGAAAGGAATGGCTGTGCAACAATTACCGAGCCATTCCTGAAGCTATGTTGAATGGCTGTGCTATCCTTAGGCTGTACACCGAAAATGCGGACTCTTGCATGCCTCGGTAATGCCTCGGGAATCACAGTCCTGAAACTGTGGCTGTACTGTGGCTGTACTAGGATGACTCGGTAACATAGCTTGCCTTGTTGGAAACAATGAAGTGTAAGGCTATGATCCTATTGTTCTCCTAGAATGGCCTCTGGAGCGGTGTAAATGAGTCAAGGACATGTACTATACACTTCTACGACACTCCTTGACTTTCTATATACTTCCATGTAGCTCCATTGGCTGTGTCCTCGGTAATGGCATAAAAGGGCATTCCCGAGCACGGTCAAGGAAATCTATCATCCAATCCACCATCTACTCTTCACCGAAACACACCCTGTGTGCCACTCAAAGTCTTACTTTGTCCCGAGTGCTAAGTTAGCCATACTAGCCACTCAACCACTCTCGCCGAGTTCTTACCGACGCGCTCTAAGACCTGCGACAGTGAAACCTTACTTAGTACAGTCCTCGCGCTACTAGTAAGGTTTAAGTAACCCATTGACTGACTTCACAAGTTGAGTTCAGTAAGAGAAGGTGCTTAGTCATCATCTACTTCTGTAAACTTGTTACCAACATCAATAGATCTCTGTATCAACTAGTTCCATACTAGCACGTCTCAGTGGCATTACTATAATTAAAGTGGTTAGCCTAACCAGCAACTCACTTGACACTAAAGCAAGCCTTATAGCCATTAGCTGGTTGAGGATTAATTGCCTTAGTGAGTCCCTCTTGAAGCACGGCCTCGCGCTGCTACATTAGGGTTTTGTAACTTGCCATCGTCACTGTGCAGTCAAAGCTAGCTGTACAGACTTCCATTCAACTTCTGTTGTGTGACTTCAAAACCAAAAAAGCCCATTCCTTCGGAATCAACCTCTGGATACTAATCCTCTGTATTCAGACTTCATCCTCTATTCTGAAAAGCTCTAAACCTCGGCAATAATCCCCATTCATTGCCGACTCAAATCCATTCATAGCTTACTCTTCCCAGTTGAAGAGCAGTACTGCATACTTGTATAGCAGCACTGACTAAAGTCCCACCCTCTTTTGTATTTGTTGTAGATCTGGTATCCTCATTACAGCTCAACTTTGCGCCGTCTCGGTAATTGCATTGCCGAAGATTACCGAGGATTTTACCGTTTGTTACCGCTTTGTATAGGCAATACAAATCTCTATCACCGAGGTTACTATTCCTATTGACTCGGCAATAAACTCGGTAACTAGCTTTCTATAAACAAAAACAGAACCATAACATAACCTCTTCATCCTCGGTGACCTCTTCGCCACGCTCATTCGCTGTGATGGCCAGGCAGCTCTCGCGGTGTTGAAATGCATTGCAATTCACGAGAAAGGAGAGTCGGTGTCAAGTGTTTCGATTGCGAGTCTCTCGCACGCATCGTCAGGAATCAAACTCACCGGGCAAGTACTCGAGCTATGCTCTGACTCACTGCCAACCGAAGCATCAGCGCCGCCCCATGATACGTCCCGGGCTGGTGTAGCGGTGCCGGGCTCCTATGTCGGTGCACAGACCCAGGTGACCCATCAAGAGCCAGCATCCGAGTCGGATTTGACGTCTGAGCCAGCTGCTGGCAGTCCAGACCTGCGTTCAGCATCGTGGCTGTGGACAGGCACATTCGTGAAGCTCACCTCCGGTCCTGATAGTGGTACTGCGGCAGTGCCGGCACCAACACCGACGGCGGTCAAAGTCTCACACAAGATGCTTGCGGTGAAGATCTGCAGTCACCTGTGTCATATACTGAACCCAAGGATCGCGGATGGTCGAGCTGTACTGAGCGAAGATCAACGACCTCACCTCAATAGCGCTGGGTTGACATGGCAGTTCTCTGAGTCCGAGCTCAAGGACATCGTGGACGTCCTGTGGCGAACAATCCGTGAGAAAGGTTCAGCGGCGTTACTGCCGCTGCTCCCTACCGCAAACCAGCAGTTCCCGTACAAGACACACAGTGGTGAGCCACCTATTAATCAATTAGCCGTCTTCATACTTAACATGCATTGTGTTCTTTAAGGTGCACCCATGTTCCTGTCGGAGGAGGCCGCACACGAGATGGAGGCACAGAAGATTGCGGACAACACGAAGCGTCGCTGCTACCAGTGCCTGGCAGAGGTAGATCCAGCCCGTATGCGAAATCATGTTGGGGAGCATGTATTAAAAGCGATGCGCGGCGTTAAGGAGGACTTACGAGGGCAGCAGGTGCGTAGTATTCCACATTGCGAGCGGGAATAATCATGTTGAACCTATGATCGCTCGCCGGCTTCGTACGCCGCTAGGTCGATCCATCCGAGTTCCCTTGCGGCTTCTGCGGACGTCCCGAACGACTCTGTTGTGCGCCGACAATGACTAAAGGGAGTAGCGCAAGTACACCTCAAGCACGGAGCGAGTGTTCATACTACCGGCTCTTCTTCTACCAGCCTAGCCTCAAGTCCTCCGCGGCAACACCCTGCACCAACGTACCTTTCGTCTGCAAGATACCCGAATGCAAGGCGGAGAAAGATGGAAACTGGACCGCCGTGTGGAAGTATAACCTTCACGAGCACATTCGTCGGTTTCACCCTAGCTTCAGTGTCGAGAGCACAGGCCTTGACGGGCTGATCCCTCTCCCACCGGCCATGCAACATGACATGCATATTTCGGACAGTGAAGAGCGTGCTCTCAAAATCCCTGATGCACACATACCGTACAAACCTCCATTGCCCGAGCTTGTGAATCCCGAGCCCACTGGGCCAGGTGCGCCGCCGCCAGCAAAGAGACGACGCCTGCGCAAGCAGCCATAGACTTTTGTATTTTTTTTTGGTTTCTCAAGTACGCTACATCAATACAATGTGTCTTTCGAGCCTCTGAGGAACGGCAAGGTAATATGGGCGATTGAGAGCGGTGGCGTACGCACCAGCATGGATACTTGCTGCGAGGAGTGGTAGGTGAGCGACTGAGAGTACGGGCAGCCTAACGGCATGCCCTGTCGATGATGGTCATCATCGTTTGCACTAACACAGTGCTACAAAGGGACGAGGCTGCGGTCATGACGGCCGTTGATGTAGCCATACCGGGGAGAGGCAGAGGGCTGGACGAACTTGTCAGGCGACGGCCGACAAGAAGACGCGAGGCGGACTCACCGATACACGCGAGCGGACAGCAGAATTGCGTTGGATGAGCAAGGCATCCAGGACCAGTGTACCATGCCGCCGACGCGCGCATGTCCTTTTCCTGCATAGCTGCGGACGGCGGTGGCCAGCTCGTCCTCAGAGGCCTCTGGTCTAGTCTTACGTCCTCCCGTCCATCCCACCACCGCCCGCCGCCCGCCCTTTCCCTCTCTTCCCCCTCGTCCTCTCCCTAATGCTACCAGTTGCGTGAGGCCACGTTCCGGCAGCCTGGACGACCACCACAGACTTTGATAGTGTTGAGGTCATGGTCGAGCTGTGTCCAGGCATCCTGGATGACGCGCAGACGTGTTCGACGCGTGCCTCGGCGTCGAGGATGGCCTTGACGGCGGACTCGGCGAGCAGCTGGGGCTGGCCATTGGAAGGGGTGGTATGGACGGTGGAGGGTGAAGCGGTCGCGTCTGTGGGTGCGCGCTGCTGGTTGAGGGAGGTGGCGGGCTGTATGAGGCTCGAGAGGAGGCGTTCTGCCCAGATTCTGCCTTGTCGGCGCGCTGGAGAGCTTCGACGCGTCCAGCGAGCGCGTCTCGGACGACGCGTCAAGACGCGTCACCCGGCGTGAACCCGCTTCCTTTTTGGGACGGGTTCTTGGGCGTTAGACTGCCAAGAAAGGAAAGGGGTACCCCCCCTACCCAGTTTCCGGGGTCTCAGGGATTTGGGAGGACGATGTCTGATATTTTGTTTGCGCCCGCCTCTTGAAGAGCGTCCGGGTGGGTCGATGTTAGTCTCCGACGTCCATTGCATGAGGCTGGTCGATGTCGGGTAATTTTGCGATTACCTGAGCCCATCCAATGAGGACGGCTGACCCCAAGAATGGGGCACGAAGACGGCAGGAATCCAGATTGTAACCGGATGGGTGAGAGCTCACTTAAACATGTGCCCCGCTCCTGTAGAGCCTGACGGTGCTGACGGGGCCTGCTACATCGGTAACAGACCCGGGCCAGTGACATCGCGACTGGCGCGGTGGCAGCCCCATTTCGACGGCTGGCAGCACGTCATTTCAGGACTCGGAGCCTATCTACAGTTCGAATTCGAATTGACATGACCTGCTGGAGGCCGTCACGTAGACAACTAACGACCTGTTCATGCGATAGGCTGAGGTTGGTGGCGTTGTCAGCCTTTCCGCGGTTGGCTGGCCGAAGTAGTAGATCCAGGCCGCCCGACAATGGGAAGCTAGACAGCTGTCGGATTCGCGGAAAGGCTGGCAATCCCGGCGTGGTTGTTACGATTGGAACTCCCGACTGTGATTGACGATGGAAGTACTCGGGCTTTGACGGCTAACAAGATGCCAACCTATGCCAACCGACACGGCTTGTCGCTCGTGAAGATTCTTCGGCTGATGCCAGCCCCAGCCCTATAGCTAGGCTGACTGTGCAAGTAGTTCGACTGATTGGCACAGGTCGTACATCCAATACCTACTCGCGATCGAAGCTGACACTTAGATATGCCTTGTGTATATAAGCTGATATAGGAAGTGGCGGACAACATGGAGAGCTTACCGAGAGCGCCCATATGAGCCAGCCGCGTTTGTTACACAGCGTAGGCATCACATACGGGTTATCACGGCTTCAGTCGTCGAGGAGCGTGTCGAAGGCGATGCACTGATGTGAACAAGTTGAACGTGGCCACTGTCCGGGAGATCTCGTTCAGTTTGCCCTGGGACATTGTCATGGACCTCGGTCCTCCGTGGCGTCAACGGATCGTTGTCGATGTCTGGGTCCCCAGAGAACAGACGTCGAGACGAATGATGATACATAAAAATACAAGCAAGCATCCGTACAGCCACCCTTTTCTCAAATGATGTTCGCAAACCGTGGATCGTGCCACAGCTCTACAGCATCATTCACGAGGTCCATATCTAGTGAAGTCGCCTGCGTCAGTCATGATATTCAACTATAAGAAGCAGCCACGCACCTAGTTCGTCGCCGAGGTCGATACAGGCAAGCATTTTGACCGTCGCCGCATCGACGACTGTGCCGATGATTTCGATGTACGGAACGGCGAGGCTGACGTCCTACGAGCAACCGTCATCCGCTATTCTACCGTTTCAGGAGCATAAGCATACCCTTGCTACTCGCACAGAGAGCTCTCCGCCATCCGGCGCTTGGACAATAGCTGTTTCGCCTTGTGACTGCGTGGCTCGTCAGGACTTGGCCACCCGCGCATATTGTCGAGCGACTCTGCGTACCCTGACCACCTTGCATGTGAGGCGGACGGTGCGCCCAATGAATTCTCCAAGCCGAGCTGCATTGACCCGCGGTGAGATGTGTTCGGCCATGTTTGGGGGGAAGGCAGCAGTGGGTCGAATTGGGTCGAGCGGAAAGGGGACACGCGTCTGGCGCTAGTCTGGCGCGCGTTGGGGCGAAGAGAATCGCGTACGGTCACAGAGTTTGACACGTGTGACAAGTCGCGTTCTTTGTCACGCTGCGCTCACTCAGACCGACTGCACTTGGTTGCGAGCGGAGCGAGCATACATACTATCAGTGGCCCTGCAATGCAACTGGTACAGTAATGCAATTATTGAACTCTGCCCTCGCTCGTCCCTCCGGATATTCTGGGATTTTTGTGTAGCATACTTTGAATGACTGCCTACGTCCCTATCTATTTTTCGAGAGGGAGAAAGTATAGTACCTGCTCTGCATAAATCAATAAACACTGTTTTTGCTCAATCATGACGCGGGGACTATCTCGGGTGACCTCATCCTATAACCGATATGTCTGAAAAGTTCATAGCATGATTCTATATCATTCAACGAGCTCTCCTACAATTTTCCGAGACAATCCGCCAACCTACAAGCAGGTCAATGAGAATGTTGCAGTTGAGGCGTGACAAGCAGCCACCCACGATCGACAGATCTCAACTCCGCCCTTGCCGTCATCGGCCACTGAAGCGCTCCGTGTCTGACGGTGTCCAGTGGGCGAAGCAGTGTGGCGACGCAGATATTCATTACACCAGTGGATGCCCAGACTTCCTCGGTCTCGCGCACATGAAGCCGAGGTCGAACCCGCTATCAAGAATGCTCAGTCTGGTACAGTGGTAGGTAACGTCAATGTTAAATCTACTGCTCCTCGTACGTCATGGTGCTCACGTGCTCCTTACTCTACTGTCCTCCGCCGACTACACGGGGAGACAAAGCCTCGCTCAGCTGCACATGCAACCCAGAAATTGCTCAGGCCAGCTCAAGAACAGGCCTTCGTTGACTGGATCAAACATCTCAGTGAGATTGGGCGAGTGAGCTGTCGGCGACTCGGCCAAGCGCCCAGTTGCATTACTGTCTCAGCGTCTGCGTTGCAGCGATGTCTCCAGTTGGTCTCTCCAGCCACATTCGCCACCGACGGCAGCTCTCGGCGAGCGGATCTTGATTACCGGCAGCGTCGGCATCGTGACCTTCGCCGTGACGAGCCTCGGAGAATAGTTGCATTACTATACCACTTGCTTTTTGCTCTCGGTCTTCTCTCACTCCTCCCGTGGACGCGTAGTAAAATCAGAATGGATTGCTCTGAACCTCAGGAATCCAATGGTGCAAACTCCGAGACAATCCGAGGAGAAGGGGAAGAGATAGTTAAGTAAATGTCCGAAAATTGCATTACTGGGCCACTCACTGCGTTCAAGGCGCGTATCCTCCAAGGATGTGCTCGGTCGTGTAGCCCAACGTCGACCAAGCGCAGTGCCACACAGGGTGGATGTAGCGTAGATTATGCCTGTGTAGACCGAGGAAACGCATGTAGGCACGCATCCGTAGACAGTACGTAATCCGACTTTGGTTACATGAGGTTACATAAGCCTAGGCGTCTAGCCCTACGTGGGCGAACATCGCCCCGTCACCGCATGGTCTACCTTCATCGCCTTCTGGTATACTTGGCTATACGCATCCCTCTTATGCTAAGTAGTCGTACGTAGACTAACACTGTTGCATGGGACCATAAAATCTTCATTTTCTTGCCTTCTGTACGTTGTCCTGAACGTCCATCACGTCGTCAACCTCGGCAAAATGCCGCCCAAGAACAAGAACACACAGGTAAGAGCACGTCTCTAGATGATTAAAGATACCCATACAGGCTACTTTCGACGCCGCAAGCGGTCATTGACGAGTTGACTGGTGCCATGGCCGCCCCGCCGTTTCTTCATTTGCGAGGTCATCATCATTCTCGGCTGCAGGTGGACCACCAATGGGGGATGGATTTGGCCCTAAGCCAGTAAGATTCTGCATTGCGGTCACCACGGATTTCTGATGACACCCTCAGCGCCAGATATCATCCGCATACATTGATGGGAGCATGCCCAGAGCTCGGTCCCAGTGACAGTTAGTTGGTCTAGAGTGAGTGCCTTCATATATCTTACGACACTCAGCATCTGACTCTGGTTGTTAGCCTTGTGTCGCTTCCAAGCGGGTGCTCTGACGTCTCCTTCGTCGTTCCCATCATCCCCGCCTTCATCCCTGCTTCACCATCGCCACAGTCCTTCTCTTCCTCCCGAGCATGTTTGACTCGGAGCTCAGCTAAGTCGGCCTTGAGCTTCTCGACCTCGCTGTGCAGCTTGACCAACCGGAGGAGGAGGGATCCCAAGACAACATGGCGAAGGTGGCAAGAAATGGACGGCCGGACCAGGAGGAGCGTGTATGCAGGGCGGAACCGCACGCGGCGCGCGTCGTCCCACGTGATCGTAACTGTGTACCCGTTTCGGTGTAATTTAAATGACACGATTATCTCAGCTGTGTTTTGCAAGCGTAGACCACCGTAAGCTGAGGTAGCCTAACATGACATACATAAGTACAGCAGTACGATCGAAAATATGGCATACATGAGTGTACATTGCGACGGCAGGGCTCTACACAGCACCAAGTACATCGCCTAGCTACGCTGCGGCTACATGCGGTTAGATGCACGCACTGGGACCTAATACAATGTGGGATTACATGATATGTCCGCCGTCAGTGTATATTTTTTTCTTCAGACAATGAACACGCACACACATGCAACCTACTCACTGTAGCATTCACGTCTGTCTACATATGTCTACTCAACCGTACCGCTGCTACACCTATCTACCCCAAGCTCGAAAGATACGGCTCTTGAACGCAGTGACTGTTAGTACATTGCCTAGGGGGTGCAGCCCGGAGCCAAACAACTACAAATTTCACGTAACCCAGATCATTATTTCCTGCGATGCTGCAAAGACTGCCGTCCCGCGCATTCAAACATGCCCTAGCATTCTCGAAAAAATGCCCATAATTTGCGCAATGCAGTACTACCCTTAGAAGTGTCCTCCTTTGTGGCTCTGCGGGCAATGCTTCGCAGTCGTGCTCTCGAAAATGGATGTTCAACTTAGTAAGCGCTCATCGACCAGCAGCGGCCACCGTGTCGTGTCTCTCCATTCCTTTCGCTTTTCATGTGCAGGCTAGTGCGTATAGCAATCCACATGAACGCCCCTCTAAAATTTCCTTCCTTTGTGGTTCCGCGTGCAGTATGTCGCAGTCGTGCTCTTGAGAAAGGTGGCGCGCGCGATGTTCGAGTAAGCGCTCACCGACCAGCAGCGGCCACCGCGTCGCGTCCCTCTAGGAGGTTGAATGAATTGGATACTCTGCCCACAGGAGACTTACGTGTCCACACGGGGCTCGCTATGAATCTGACGTACTGTACTGCGCCCTCGGATTGTAGCGAGCCCCTTTTCACGGAAAAAGTATGTTTACTGTCTTGGGATGGCCGTGGACTTCACCACCACAGATACCCTCTACCGAATCTTGTTGCAATCACGTATCCCAAAGGCCCCGTCAATTGCGGTTACGCCATAATATATCACAGTAACGAGACTGTCCAGCCAAATAGACAGAAGCAATACAACAATGCAAGTGAGAACAGCAGGCAAGAAAACACAGCGAATAGTTAGCGTTCGACTACGCAACGGAGGAGCTATAGGCAGTTCACGTCTGTCTCTTGCGGAACATAACCTCCGCCGATCGACTGACGTACAGGCGAGTGCCGAACCAGCGCACGGGCGGGACTTGGCCCTCCTTCTCCATCTTGATGTCGTAGTTCAGCACCAGGTGCGCGAGCATCGCCTTCAGCTCGCTCGCGACGAAGAACCGGCCGGGGCTGCCACAAGCACAGAGAAATCAGCTTCCCGCCGCCGAGAGGTCGAGCCTAACGCACCATCCATGCCGCCCGTGTCCGAAAGCGACATGCTCGGGACCTGTGCTGACCATCTGGAACTTTGTCGCCTCGGTGTCGTCCTTGCGGATCTCGGACCAGCGCCACGGGTCGAAGACGTCCGCGTGCGGGTAGATGTCCTCGTCATGGTGGATCGCGTGCATCGGGATCGCGACCTTCGTTCCCTTCGGGATAAATGTTCCGTCAGAGAAGGTGTAGTCCTGCATGGCGGTGCGCCGGAGCGACTCTGCGATGATCAGCCTGTGAGTATGAGCATTATGGGCGATGGGTCTGATAAGCTCACTAGTTCCGAGGGCGCAGTAGCGTTGGGACTCCCGCAAGAAGCTGTCGATCTTGGCGAATCTGTTCACCGAGTCTTTCGTCCAGCCTTCTGCTTTGGTGACCTCCTCGACCTCGTCGCGCAGTGGCTTGAGCCATTCCGGATGTGCAGCCAGGTAGAACATCGCGTTTGTGAATGTCTACTTGCCGCTGAGTATCCGAGTAACACGACGTTCACTGAGACGCACCATGCTGGACGTATTGATCGCCGTGATGTTGATAGTCATGATTCGGATAACAAGACGGTCTACCTGGAGCTCCTCGCCCTCCGCTTCATCCATGACCCATTGCAGCATGTCGTTCTAGACGCCGAACATCAACTACCATTCTTCAGTAGACGTGCGAGGACGGTGCTCACAGGCTTGTCTGGCCAGTCCTTGCCATGCTCCTTCATCATTCGCAGGCGTTCCTCGATGAGCGGCTGGAGATGCCTCGTGCCCCTCTGGATCCCACTGTGTACCTTGGTGAGAAGCCGGACAGCCGTTCTAGGTTCGACGCCCACGTGGATCAGTCTGGGAAGTTGAACGGAAGAATGGCCGGATCCACATACGGCTTCAGGACATCCGGGAAGAGACGGATGATTTGGCCACCGACGAACACGTCAATCGTGAAACGTTTATTGAGCTCGACATAGTCACGATCCCGGCCTGCAAGGGGCGAACTCAGTATGACGTGGGAATGTCCGCCGGCGATCACGAGACTTACAGAGAGGGAGCCCAACGAAGAGTCGGTTGCTCGTTCGGCAGACGACCTCCATCATCGTAGGTAGCATCGGAACCTTAATCCAGTCTGGATATGTTCATCGAGAGCGTCACTAATCAAAGGCGGCCGTGCATGAAGGATCGACACATACCTTTTGCCTTCGGGATATTATCGTCGAACGCGCGCACGATCTCATCGTGCATGTCGCCGAATAACGGAGTCAATGCACGCGTGAATTGATTACGGATGATTGGGATGTGGTATGCAACCCGGTCAAGACTCGGTCCGAGCGTCCACTCCGTCTGGACTGCCTGTGATTCGCATTGCATGAGTGACATTTTACCAAGCAACAATGTGAATGGCACACACGTCTTTGCTTGCCTCGATGAGGGACAACACGTTCTCCGGAGCACGGCACATCTCCTCCACCAGCTTCGGCCCGCTGACCAGAACGTGCCACCCGTCTACATCACGATGCTTGAACGCGCCATTTCGGTACTGCGCAACAGCAGGATACAGTGGTTAAGAGAAAAAGGCACCAGTGACTGATAGACCGAACGAACCTTTTGATAACCCTCCCAAAGTATCACGTCGCTATGCATAAGATAGCGAATGGCGCCTATGAAGTCCAGGATGGGAATGGAGGGTCCCCCAACCGTCGGTATGCGCGACAACTGATCGGGAATACACCTGTGAGCCGGACAGTACCCCGCATGAGATAGCAACTCACAGTCCTGATCGTCAGGAAGTTCCTCCATACCGAATACAGGATCGGCAGGGCGAGTAGCGCGGTCACCAAGTAGGGGTCCATGGCTGGCGAGCGGAGGGGAAAGGCGTGCGCGTTATGGCCGACGAGGGTATTTATACGTCATTGGATAGGCGGCAATTGGGCATCAGGCAGTTACATACTCAGTGCCTCGATATCGTAACGGCCTCGGCGCCACGGCTGGATGTGAGGGTTCCATTGATTAAAAGCACCCGTATGAAGGCACGGATGGAGCGGTCTGCGAGGTCGCGACAGGCCGCAGTGGGGTTAAGGATGCGATGAGGAGCACAGGCATGGAATCGAGATATGACGCGCGACGGCGATTGGAGGTGGGAATGGCCTGGAGCATGGCTTTTTCAAGTTTTTGGTACATGGTCTGATCAGCCAGCATCCAGAGCGTTATTCGATTGGCCTGCGGGCTGCGAAGGGTCGCGCAGGTAGACAGGCCCAAGTGGCGTGGCATTCGCACCCGGCGAGGGTTCTTGTCACACCCTCGACGCAATGCCTCGCACCGTAGACGCCCGTATGTACCTCCGTCCGAAGGCTTGAGTCCTCTCGAGGTCGTCTTCCTGGTGCATTGCTTGTGATCTAGAGGACATCGGTAAGCTTAACGCTTAAATGACACAGTGTATCCATGTTTGACGGCGAGACAAAAGCCTAAAGAGCTAAATCCTAAGTCTGCGTGACAGTGGGAATTTGCGGGGCTCGCAGTTAAAGCGGTGCGGCTTCTCGGGATTCTGACCGTGGGAATACTGACTGTAAATGTACGTTATGTGACTGAATCTTCAGGTTAGGTTATCGTTTGCGGGCCCCAAGGGGCCCCACCGGTTGACGGGTTGAATGCACTCCTGAGTATAGGCGGGCTCTGCGGCATGTATGCGTCCCGTTCAGGAGATATGAGACAAGAGTGAGAGGTCGTCGGAGTTGTTCAACTAGCGTATAACCTGGAGGAGGCACATCCAGACAACAGCCTGATGGAAAGAAAATGTCGGCATGCGGGTTGGAGTTATGATGACTAGGATAGCCCGGCGACTGGGAGTCTCACAGACGAGCTCACAGCTACTTGTCAATGTGCAGGGTAGACATCAATCCGGCTGGAATGTGTGCGAGGTTGAGAGGGCGCGGCGACGCCATGGATTGGAAAAACAAATGCGATTTCACGTTGTCAGGCTGCACTTGAACTCGCCTGCGTCCGAGCGCCAACGGTTGACAAGCTGTCCCCATTACCAAAAAGCGGTGAAAGGAAGGAGGATGCACTTACCCAACGCTCTCGGCTCTCGGGATAACATGGCATTGCATACGAACATGCACGGACAACCCGATCCACTATGAAGCCTTGAGTACATATTCAGTGACTGAATCCATGCGCAAGACGAAATGTGACGTACCACTCAGAAATACAGCACACAGACTTGTTCAGATGCTCCTCGAAGATAAGGTCGTGGACAGAGATGTCCAGAATCAGGACATCAGGCACATGGCTTTTGTCAGAGAGCGGCTCCGAAGGAAGATGTGGGACATGGAAGATCAACGCCGACCAATGCTCTAGCCTATCCAATAAATTGCAAGAAGCAAATTGGTGGCGGCGGCGACTGTGGTTGGACACGGCCGTCGTAATGATAAGCGGGCAGCATGGATCCACTAAAGTATGTAGGGAAGCCGAGGTCCGAGGGTGTGGATTTTGTCTCCCCTTCAGTTAGACCACTTCTCCACTGCACACGCATCCGAAGTCTCTCGGAGTACATCGGTCTTGCCATCGCGTTGGTGTTCCCATCGACTGTTACGTCAACGTTTGTTTTCCCTTATTTTCACTTGAGCATTGTACTATCCTAGTATGGGCCCAACCCCATGACGCTACGGTTCCAGTCTTCGGACTCCTTCGCTGTTTGCTCCGGTCCAACCCGGAGCAGTTCACGTGATCTCTGACTCAGTATGACTCGTCCCTTACTCATACCTGACTCATCATTTATGACTCGATCCCTGACTCGTCGTGACTCACTCCCCTGCGCTCCTATTGGCTAGGTAGTTGTGACTCGTTCAGGACCTGCCCTGAACTCCCCATGTATATAAGACCTGTGTACAGTAGCGGTCGAACCTCAGTTCGACCTGGTTATCTATTGAAGCTTCACCAGCTCCTTGGATATCAGAAACTCCCCGCTCGACCTGCTAGACGGACTTAGCAGCGTCTCAGACCATCCTCCCCATCCAAGGACGATTAGAACCTAAGGTCCCTACGTTTAGGGTTAGGTTGAGAGCTAGTGCTCTAGGTGTCACGCTTCGCGTAACATAAGGTCGAACTGATCTTTACGCTCCGCCTGCTCAGGCGCAGAGCCCACACATCTTCACACACGCTTCCGGAGTGCCCCTCCGTTTAGGGGACTCCCCATCCACCACGGACTACCGAGTTGAGATCGAACCCGTTACCTACGGGCTCCCAACCCTACCGAACCTCTGGTGGAACGACGACCTTCGCCTCTTCGAGTATCAGAACGACACCGGTGAGCACAGACCTGTGCTTGTGCAAGAACCAGAACGAGAAGGAGAGAAGCGCATTTGGGCCTTCTTCCACGACACTGTTCCCCTCGAAGAGCAACAGAAACAGACCCGCGCCTACCTAGACACCAAAGGAAAGGCTGCCGAACGGATCAGGAAGATCCAAGACGAACGACCGAAGCCGGCGACTCCAGCGGCTATCCGACGAGAACTCTCGAAGCACGAAGCTACTTCCCCCGCAGTAGGAACTAGCCCCCTGGTACACGTTGTACCCGAAGTAGGCACATCTAGCCTCACCCAGTATTCCTCGAACCTCGCTACAGGTGTCGAGAAGAAGCCTCTCGAACCGGAACTCGAGACGCAGTCGAACGAACCCGAACCCGAACCCGAATCCGAATCCGAACCCGAACCCGAATCAGACGACGCAATGTCTACCACCTGCACGAACACGGCTACCAAGCTTGAGGTCCCCGCACCTGACAAGTTCAAGGGACAAGCTACCGATGCAAAACCGTTTATCCGACGTCTCGAGATGTACTACAGCGCGACTGGCAACGCCGATGCCAACGATCAACGGAAAATCACTTACGCTCTCCTCCTCATCGACGACAACAGTGATGCTTTCTACTGGAAGAAGTTGCACATGGACGGAGAAGCTGATGCCCAAGAAGAAGGCAAGCATGCGTTTGAGTCTTGGAAAGACTTCAAGGAAGCCTTCTTGAAGGCGTTCCCCGTTTATGCCGAAGGAGACAGAGACTCGATAATGCTTACGACTCTAAAGCAAGGAAAGACTCCCACCCCTGCCTTCATCCCCAAATTCCGATCCATCGCGTCCAGGACCGACCTCTCTGATAAGACCCTCTCCGGGTTCTTCAAGAGGGCAATCCGCCGTGATCTCCTTGACAAGGCAATGAATATGGAACCACCCACGACCCTGCAAGGGTGGTTTGACCTTGTCCTCCGACTTGACTCCCGCCAGATCTACAATACCAATTACTACGAGGGAGGGAACAGCGGAGGTAACAACCACCGCTCCTCCTACCCCTCTGGACGAGGCAGCGGACGATTGGACGAGCCTATGGAGATCGATGCTATGGATCAGAGGGAACGGCAACGTCACCAGGAACTGGGCCTCTGCTTCGGATGCCACAAACCCGGACATCTCCTCCGGAACTGTCCCGAGAAGAGACAGAACCCGAAGTTCACCCAGCGCAACCGAACTTCCCCACGCCGTGTGCCCGCCTCCTCTACCCACGTGCGAGAAGTTACTCCCGCCTATGTACGAGAAGTCTTCCAGGAACTCCCGCTCGAAGAACGCGCTCCGCTCTTTGAGCAAATGTCGAAGGACTTTTGAGTGGGTCTGAGTCATCGATGCGCCCAGACCCCACCTATGCACTCCACATATCCCATGTAGTAACAGGAATCACGCAATTCAAAGCCCTTTACTTTCCTCTCATGGTGATCGGAGTGCATCAAGACATCGAAACGGAAGCTCTCATCGACAGTGGCGCAATGGCCACGTACATCCACCCTCGTCTTGTCATCAAACTACGCCTACCCTCGGTACCCCTTGTCCGACCCATCCCGGTCTTCAACGTAGACGATACTCCCAACAAGAAGGGAACCATATCGCACGCCGTCGCCCTTCGCTATCGATGGAAGGGAACAACCAAGCTTGTTAAGGCGTACGTTGCCGAGATCGGAAGACAGGATCTCATTCTAGGCCATGAATGGCTCCAGAAGGAGAACCCCATCATCGACTGGAAGACAGGCGAGCTCGAGTTTGAAGACCAGACGTACTGGGCCAAACGCGAGCAGAACGAACAGCTTAGCAAGGCGGAAATCCTACGAACTATCAAAGTGGAGCTACCTCCCGCTCCCGTCTACCGGATCCGCCGACAAGTTGAGGAACCACCTGATCGGGCCTGCAGCCCCGAAGAACCCCGTGAACCAACCCCACCTCGACGAGTGACCGTCGAGGATGTTCCCAAAGAAGAACACAAGCGAGCTGTTGATGCTCCTCAGAAGGAAGTTGTAGCGGAGACTTCTCTCTTGGACGAGCCAATTGAGGAACTCCCCAACTTCCCCCCTATGAACCCACACCCTGAACCGCTCGAGAGCGAGGAAGATTATGAAGCACGACTCCGGTCCATGACCGAAGATCTGGACCCTGACGAATTCCTGGCATCGTATGCCCCTGGTGCAAACTACTTGGCAACACTCGCTTTCGTTGAAACACCATTGACGCAGGAACACGAAGACACCCCAGAGCCCCTGCCGTCCAGGCATGCTATCAATCGGATGATACGAACCGGCACCGGCGCACTAATCCCCACGGCATTTTCGATCGGACGAACCACCACGGCCACTGAGCTAGCGCTCTCTGAGTGGGCTGGAAAGAAGCAGAAGACGGTTGAGGAAATCGTTCCTCCCTATCTGCATGACTTTCTCCCGGTATTCGACAAAGTAACGGCATCTCGACTCCCAGAGCACACCGAGTACGACCACGAGATCAACCTGAAACCGGGGTTTTCGGAGATGAAGACCCAGGT